TTAGGCGACACACACCCTAATGTAGCCAATCCTGCAAGAGCTTACAGTAGCCCCTGTAAGAAGAGCTCTGTAAGCTCTTGGAGGATTGGCTACATTAGGGGGGGTGTCGCCTAATAGGCAAAGGAGCTCCTGCTACAAAAAGAGCCCTAAGGACAGCCCCTGCATGTAGCACCATGGCATTGTCCGTCATGGTGAAGCAGACTAGCTGACCAGACCATGTGAACTCTGGGCCACCTTATTCTCATCATTGCAAGGTCAGCCTCAGCTTGTAGCACAAGGGCCTTCATGGCCAGGGTGTCCTCCTGGCCTGGTGGGAGGCCCAAAGATCATGCTGTGGCCACAGACACTGACTATTCATCTCGCCCTGCAGCCAACAGCACCTGAAAGCAAAACCTCATTCATAACTTTAAACTTTGCAATTCCATTCTTCAAGCGCTAGGCAAAAGCCCACCACTAGCTCACTGATCCACAGTGCCACCCCCCAAAATGGAGTGCAGTGACTAGACAAAGGTCCTGATCTGAACAAGGTCCTACGGACAATACCACACGGCAAGGGCACGCATAGCCCAGGGCAGCTGCAGTAGAAGCAGCACTGAACCAAACAGTGTGAGTGCCAAACTTCACTGGGAAAGGCCTGACTTGCCCAAAGCACGGGCGCTAACCGCCACAAACTGGTGCCTGGTCAGTGGCGTTCCAGCTGCAAAGGACGCGGGGCTGGGGCATGGGTGAACACTGCCCAAGAGATGGTGGGCTGGCTGTGTTGGCATGAGGGGAGAGGAGGAGACAGTGGCTCCCACTATTGGGGCTGGAGAGGGCCTGGCATGTGTGTCCAGAGCGCAGACTGCTGGGACAGAGGGGGATGGCAGTGACAGCTGGAGTGCACACAGCTTAGAATGCACTGGGTCCATGCTTTCATGGCCTGAGATGGGAGGAGACTGCTGGCTTTCCCCGCAGAAGGTGGGTCGCTTCAGTGTGTGTGTGGGGGTGCCCCGACATTTAAAAGACCCCCAAATTTTTTTTAAAAAGCCTGGCTACAGGTCTGCCTCCCTATTGTGATCTGCCTAAATTCACAGTATCAGCATTGCTATCAGATAGCTGTCTAGCTTCTGCCTAAAAACCTCCAAAGAAGAAAAGCCCACGACCTCCCGAGGAAACCTGTTCAACTGAGGAACCACACTGTCAGGAAATTCTTGCTAATTTTACCTGAAAAATCTTCTGATTTAATTTCAATCCATTGGTTCTGGTCCAAACTTCTGGGGCAACAGAAAACAACTCTGCACCATCTCTATGTGACAGCCCTTCAAATACTTGAAGATGTTTCTCATATCACCTCAGTCATATCCTCTCCAGGCTAAACTTACCCAGCTCCTTCAACCTTTCCTCATTTGACTTGGTCTCCAGACCCCTCCCCATCTTCCTTGCCCTCCTCTAGACATGTTCCAGCTTGTTAACATCCTTCTTAAACTGCAGTGCCCAAAAAGGAACACACTACTCTAAGTGAGGTCTAACCAAAGCAGAGTAAAGAGATACCATCACTGTGCGTGATCTGGACACTTCTGTTGATGCAGCCCAAAACTGCATTCACCTTTTTAGCTATTGCATCACAGTGCTGACATATGTTTAATGTATAGTCTACTAAGACCCCTAGATCCTTTTTGCAAGTACTACTGTCAAGTCAAGTTTTCCCCATCCTATAATTATACATTTGATTTTTTTTTCTACCTAGACAGAGAACTTTACACATCTCTGCTGAAATTTTGTTGGTTTTAGCTCAGATTTCCAGCCTGTCCAGATCATCCTGTAGCTTGAGTCTGTCTTCTATTGTATTTGCTAACCCTCTCAATTTAGTCTCATCTGCAAATTTAAAGAGCATCTCCTCTATTCCTTTACCCAAGTCATTTATAAAGATGTTGAACAACACAGGGCCCAGGACAGGAATGAGACAGGAAGTATGCCTGCACCTGCTTTCACAGCTGCCAGTCTCTGGGTTGCAACCTAGAATTACCAGCTATGGCTTCCAAAACTCCTGAATGTATGGGATGGTGTAGAGGTTGGGGAAGGCAGGGAGGTTAACAGAGATGTAATTCCATAGTGTCCACCCTCTGAAGCAGTCATTTTCTCCAGCTGATCTCTATAGTTTAGAGATCAGTTGTAATTCCAGGACAACTCTAAGCACCACCTATAACCTGTTATCAGACTCTAAAGCGAGTGTGACAACTTCTTGTGAACTTAAATTCCATTGGTTCATCAGAGCCTTGTAGAGATACAGACTCTTCTCCCTTGGGATACAATGTCCAGACCTGTTAAAAATGGATATTTTTGTCCCATGTATTGAACAAAAAAAATATTTCTGAAATTGCGTCAACTATTTATCTTAACAATATGAAATAAAGAAAATGAGGCTTATCTATCTATAGCATTTTCCTTTTCTTCAGGACAGCATATATGGCTATCTGTTTCCCATTTTATCCTCATGACAACACCATGAGGGAGGTTAGGCTGAGAAAGTGTGACTAGCCCAAATTCACCCTGTGAGCTTCATTGCAGGGTAAGGATTTGAACCTGAAGAACTAAGCAGAATGCCAGAAACCAACCTGTAGCTAACAAAGCTACCTGTTGGGGACCCCTGTCTGCTCTACAGGCTTTACTTTGTTCTATGCTTGGTATGATTGGTGACCTTTGTATTTCTACAGAACAAATGTGCCAAATACTGGCCTTCCATGGAGGAAGAGACTGCCTATTATGGGGACATTGTCGTAAAGATAAGTGACTGCAAAGTGTGTCCTGACTACATTATTCGGAAGCTGCATATCACAAATGCAAGTAAAAATAACACTTGTCGAGATTTCCCATGTATTTTCTTAGTAATCCTTACTAGTAATCCTTACAAACTGGGAGCCAGTTTGGTGTAGTGGTTAAGTGCGCCGACTCTAATCTGGGAGAACAGGGTTTGATTCCCCACTCCTCCACTTGCACCTGGCTGGATGACCTTGGGCAAGCCATAGTTCTGATAAGAGCTGTTTTTGAAAAAGAGCAGTTTCTGACAGAGTTCTCTCAGCCCCACCTACCTCACAGGGTGTCTGTTGTGTGCCTTGCCTAAGACAGTCTAGTAAGTTCATGGTTGACTTGAAATTTGAACCAAGGATTTCTTAGGTCACAGCTGACTCTTTTAGCTTCCTCTTCTACTCAGCAGAAGTCCTGCTGAGGGAATGCAATGAGTGACAGAAATTAAAAATAATACCAAGAGAAGGTGGTATCCAACTTTCCTCCAGTCGGAGGAGCTATTCTGCAGCCTAAGGAGATTTACACCAACTTAAGTGGCTTTTCTTTTGGAGGAAGAGTTATTAAAGTTGGAGGGAGGCTTCAGACTTTGCTTGGTGGAGTGATAGGACATAGGCTGATATCATGTAATGAGGTGTCCTCATAACAGTAGCAATTAAGAGAGGTAGGTGTGGAAGGCATCCTCCATTCTTTCTGTTCTTCTTTTCAACACTGTTGGTTCAGTCATGTGAATCATCTTTTGATAAGCAGCCTGATTTGACTGTTTCTTTACCCTTTCATTTTGAAATGGCAATATATAGTTTCACTGCAGAAGATCAAGGTAAACCCAAGGAGTTAGGTTTGATGTACCACTGTTTCTCCATCTTGTGCCTGGTTGCCTTTTATGCCATTTCTAAATATCCCTCATAGGTTGAAGATGTTTTTTCTCTCTTGATACTCATCTTATTATTATGACCTTGTTATTGCACTTGGGAATGGGCTCTTTATATGTTAAAGTCATGCACCTAGTACAGGGGGAAAGGGAGGTTAGCATTACTAATTTATTTATTTATTTATTAAATTTCTATTCTGCCCTCCCCAAACGGGCTCAGGGCAGCTAACAGAAGAGGCATATGCCATAATTTAATAACTAAAAACAGAATAAAACCAGGGCTATTTTTGTGCAGGAACACACAGGAACGGAGTTCTGGCTGGCTTCAGAGTTGGTCACGCCCTCTACAGCCAAAACCTCTGCATGCGTGGCTACAGAGGGAAGGCCTGGAGAGCGACACCCCCCTGGCGACTCTGAGGCGGGTGGGCCAGGGGAGCCCCGGAAGGATTGAGCAGGCATTTCGATGCCTCCCCATGCCTTCTGCAGCCTGTCCAAGGGCCGGCTTGCCTGGGCTCCCCACAGCCACAGGTTGCCCAGGCAAGCCAAGGGAAGGCATAGGTGTGTGTCCTAATATGCTAATTAGCTGTGCTATCAGGGGTGTGGCCTAATATGCTAATGAGTTGCTGCTGTTGGGTGTGGCCTATTATGCTAATGCGTTCCTGCTGGGATTTTTCTACAAAAAAGCCCTGAATAAAACAATCAATCAGAAACAAAGTGCCGGTGCTCTAGAGAATAAGCTCTTATCAGTCCAAGATGGGGTTCCATTAACCAGCATAACCCATCAGCATAAGTTCCAGATAGTACTGTCATCCTTTCATAACCAGTTCTTCAGTTCATCTGGTCATCTTGCCAGGGCCAGCTCACATCCTGGTAGAATCCACTGTCAAAGATGGCAACTCGGTGGTGGTACAGTAGCAGTGGCGGCTCCTATACAAAAGCCTGGCGGAAGAGCTCCGTCTTACAGGCTCTGTGGAACTGCATAAGGTCCCGCAGGGCCCGGATCTCCTCTGGGAGCTCATTCCACCAGATAGGAGCCGCCACCGAAAAGGCCCTGGCCCTGGTTGCAGCCAACTTGATGTCCTTGGGGTCTGGAATAACCAAAAGAAGTTGCACCCCTGACCGTAGTGCTCTTGGGGGAACATATGGGGAAAGGCGGTCCCTAAGGTAAGCTGGACCCTGGCCATCAAGGGCTTTATAAGTAAGAACCAGCACTTTGAAGCGAATCCGGTATGCTATAGGCAGCCAATGCAGCGCCTTCAGCACCGGCTGGACGTGGTCCCACCTAGTGAGACCCATCAACAGCCTAGCTACCGCATTCTGCACTAGCTGCAGCTTTCGAATTTGCGACAGAGCATTAGTAGAGAGCATTACAGTAGTCCAGCCTCAAGGTGACTGTCGCATGGATCACTGTGGCCAAGTCATCGCGGTCAAGGAAGGGAACCAACTGCTGAA